AGGGCGGTGGAAAGGTGTGTTGCGAGGGTTTTTGTGGGGAGGATAGGGGGGTGGACGATAGGTTCATAGGCTATGTTGATGTAAAGGGTTTCTTGGATGGGAGGGGGGTTTAGGGGGTTTTGGGGGAGAATGGATGTTTTTGGGCAGCACAGGTTAAAGGTGAATGGGAAAAGTCAAAATTTGGATTGGGGGGGGTGGGAAAGGGGGGGACATGTGTAAAGGGGGAGAGGTGGTGTGTAGGGGATAGGTTAAAGTTTGGGGATTGTGTTTTTGGTGATGTGGAGTTTGCGAGGGAGGAAATTCCGTGTCGTGAATAAGGTGTGGGGAGCTTAAATGGGTTAAGGTCGACACATCTTTTTTTTCCCCAGGGGTCTTTGGAAAAATGTGCTTTGTTAGAAAAAATGGTTGTAGCTGCAATGCCCTTGGGTCTGGGGATGTTTGGGGGATTTTGGGTTTAGGTTTCTAGGTATATATGGGGTTCAGGGTGTGTTGGGTTTAAGGGAAAGGAGGTGTGAACTTCCGGCACCCAAGGGGAGGGGGGGGTTATTTCCTGGGTATGGGGTTTTTAAAGGGTGTTTAGTTAAGATGAGTACGGCGGGGAGTGCAGGGGGGGGGGGGGGGGGGGTTGGTAAGGTGAGAGAGAACATTCAACATGATGGAGGGGGAAGGGTTACGAGATTGTGAAGCGATTTGCGGGAATTTTTGTGGGGGCCAGTGCAACAAAAAAACATTTGGGGGGGGGTCGTGGAGAGGGGGTTTAGCCTCAGGTGGCGGTCACTGGGGGAAGGGGTACCCCATGTAGGGGTGGGACAAAATTGGCACCGTTTAAAGGGGTGGTCTACGACGAAAGTAAAAGGAAGAAATTTTTTGGTTTTACAGGGGGATTTACCGTTGGAGGGGGTTTTTGGGACAGCGGATTTGGAAAGGTGGGGTTGTACGTTTTGGGGGGAAAAGAGGGTTGTTTTCCATGTAGTTATTTTGTAGGTTTAGGGGTTTGAGGGAAGGAGGGGAAAGGGTGTTTCAATTGGTGGGGGGGGGGTTTTATCTGTGTTGAGGGATTAACCCTGGATGTGGGAGGGGTGGGGACTGTTTCAAAGGGCAGGGGCTTAGTAGTTGTTGATTTCTTTTGTTGTCATGGGCGTGGGGGGGAGACGAGGGTAGGAGAACAGCCAAGGATTTGCAGATCTTTTTTTAAAAAATAAAATGCCGCAATAAAGAAATAACCTACCATCCGATTCCACCGAGCTTGGTTCCGACCCAACGTGCAAGTAAGACACTGCTTACATGTATTTTACTTTGGAGGTCTCAGTTTTGGCCCTACTGTGACGTTATATTGAAATTTTGTAATTAATTTTTTTTCTGTTTTATTTTTAACCATGTGGTATGTTCGGTTTTTTTTGGCGAAGCTATATATTGTCATGACACTGTGGTGGGTGTGTTTTGGGCATCAAAAAAATTCAAGAATCCTCCCTTAATTTTTTAAAACAAAAGCAATTCCCCACCAGGGTGGGTGACCCAAAAAAAAGGGGGAAAAACTTTCCCTCATATTTGTGTTTTTGTCAAAAAACGTGTGACATCACAGTTCGGGCCCTTGAATAAAATCCTTGCTCTGTTACAGTACAAAAAATGTCCCTTTTCCCCAGGACTGTCCAGTTAAATCCCCCTAATGTACTTTTGATTTAGTGAAAAATTTTTGAAAACTCAGTAATGACCCTGAATGGGAGGTGCCTTTTGTTTATAAAGGGATTTGATTATGGAAATTGAGCTTTCCCTCCTATTCCCCATATCAGAATTACTACCTCCCATGTTGAGGACTGCATACAACTACGCATTTAGTGTTTCCACGTGAATAACAATGCCCCTTTTGGGTGGGTGCATCCAAGAATATTGTTTCCCCATCCTGCAAGCCCAGTCCCTTAAGTAGTTTATTGGTACAGGTACACATATATCAATTTTCATACTAGTTTAAAGATGTGTAAATTATTAGGATAACTCCAAAATGGCGGGCCAGGTATTACACACAGGTTGTTGTGTAATCTGGTAAAATGTTCTTGACCCCCCCCCCCCGATATTTTGGGCAAAGGCCGAGGGGAGATACCCCCGCCTCTTTGGGCAGAGTTGTGTAAGCAAAAATTGACACAAGACAATGAAAAAGACCACACGAGCTATCGTTAAGAAAAAACTGTGTTAATGACAGTGATAAGAAAAAAAAAATAACTGTCAGTTAATAAGACACAGTGTTTGAAAAAATCTAAAAAATTTTCAAAAAAGAAGAAAAAAACTTGATTTTCAAGAAAAGCTTTTTCCTTTAATTTATTTCCTTTCCCGCAGAAGGAAAAATATATGAAATTTTTCAGTTAATGTGAATAAGTGAAGTTTCCATTAGAGTTTTTGGCATATGAGAATAAAAAATGATGGGTAGCTGTATCAGATGAAATATTTAACTTTATAATTATTCTTCATCTTTAAACAAAAAAGGCCCTATCCCCCCAAAGGGAGGGTGGCCAAAAAGAAAAACAAAAATTTTTTCTTTTTAAATTTTTGTAATTTATACAGGGGTTATAGCCCTTGCCCTGGCATTTTTTGTCGCCTCTTACAACCAAAAATGGCCCGGGGGGAAAAAATTCTGTTCATTTCCCCCTGGAGATAAAGGGGAAAAAAACCCAAGAAAGAATAGAAAAAAAAAGGAAAACCCAGAGGGGGGTGATATAAGTGGACCCCCGGGTTTATGAGACCTCCCAAAAGGCCAAATTTTGTAAGTGTATTTATGTAAGTGCGTTTGTATGTGTTGTTTGGGGGTCTAAAATGGATAATCTAAATTTCCCAAAATTTCCTTTTGGAACAAATTGGTCAGTACGGCACCCGAACTACTTTGGGTGAAAAAAATCGTAAACCGGGGGGCCACGGGATATGCTTGTACATGTATGGTAGGTGACCAAAATGTAAATGAAGTAGCAAGAGTACTGAAATTTGCATGTTCATGAGACAAAAAAGGACACAGCTCCTACCATTTTTCTTTCTTTCAACACCCGGCCGTATCCCACGAGGCGGGGTGGCCCAAAAAAAAAAAACGAAAATTTCCTTTTTTTTAGAAAAATTTTACAGGAGAAGAGGTTACTCCCCCTTTCCCGGCATTTTAGTTGCCCCCTTACAAAAGCATGGCTTTCGGAGGAAGAAATTTTGTTCCATTCCCCCTGGAGTAAAAGGAAAAAAAACAAGAATAAAAACTAGAAAGAAAATAGAAGAAAACCCAGAGGGGTGTGTATATATGTGCTTGTACATGTATGTGTAGTGTGACCTAAGTGTAAGTAGAAGTAGCAAGACGTACCTGAAATCTTGCATGTTCATGAGACAGAAAAAAGGACACCAGCAATCCTACCATTATGTAAAACAATTACAGGTAACTTCATAATTATACTACATAATTAATCCTACTTAATAGTCTACGTCTAGTTCTTAAGTAATCTTTACATATTAGGATTAGTTTGAAATACATAGCATGTTAGTGGCTTACTTTTGTGCTTAATAATATTTTATTACAAGTAAATTACATTATCTATATACTGCAGAAATGAAATTGTGGTATCTCATGCCTTATATGTCAATATTTTCTACCTTTATCATTCTTTAGGTGTTTTCTGTTAACACATCAGCTGTCTTCTACCAAAGCAGGGTGACCACCGGGCAGGGTGACCACCTGGGCAGGATGACCACCGGGCAGGGTGACCACCTGGGCAGGGTGACCACCGGGCAGGGTGACCACCCAGGCAGGATGACCACCGGGCAGGATGACCACCCAGGCAGGGTGACCACCCAGGCAGGGTGACCACCGGGGCAGGGTGACCACCCAGGCAGGGTGACCACCCAGGCAGGGTGACCACCCGGGCAGGATGACCACCGGGCAGGATGACCACCTGGGCAGGGTGACCACCCAGGCAGGGTGACCACCCAGGCAGGGTGACCACCGGGCAGGATGACCACCTGGGCAGGGTGACCACCCAGGCAGGATGACCACCCGGGCAGGGTGACCACCGGGCAGGATGACCACCTGGGCAGGGTGACCACCCAGGCAGGGTGACCACCCAGGGCAGGAGTGACCACCCAGGCAGGGTGACCACCCAGGCAGGGTGACCACCGGCGGACACGGCAGGGTGACCACCCAGGCAGGGTGACCACCCGGGCAGGGTGACCACCCGGGCAGGGTGACCACCCGGGCAGGGTGACCACCCGGGCAGGGTGACCACCCAGGCAGGGTGACCACCGGGCAGGATGACCACCCAGGCAGGGTGACCACCCAGGCAGGGTGACCACCCAGGCAGGGTGACCACCCAGGCAGGGTGACCACCCAGGCAGGGTGACCACCCAGGCAGGGTGACCACCCAGGCAGGGTGACCACCCAGGCAGGGTGACCACCCAGGCAGGGTGACCACCCAGGCAGGGTGACCACCCAGGCAGGGTGACCCACACCAGGCAGGGTGACCACCCAGGGCCAGGGGTGACCACCCAGGCAGGGTGACCACCAGGCAGGGTGACCACCCAGGCAGGGTGACCACCCAGGCAGGGTGACCACCCAGGCAGGGTGACCACCCAGGCAGGGTGACCACCCAGGCAGGGTGACCACCCAGGCAGGATGACCACCCGGGCAGGATGACCACCCGGGCAGGGTGACCACCCGGGCAGGGTGACCACCCAGGCAGGATGACCACCCAGGCAGGATGACCACCCGGGCAGGATGACCACCCAGGCAGGGTGACCACCCAGGCAGGGTGACCACCCAGGCAGGGTGACCACCCAGGCAGGATGACCACCCAGGCAGGGTGACCACCCAGGCAGGGTGACCACCCAGGCAGGGTGACCACCCAGGCAGGGTGACCACCCGGGCAGGGTGACCACCCATGCAGGATGGCCACCCAGGCAGGATGACCACCCAGTGTAGACAGCCTGTACTGTCTGCACAGACAGTTTATGCTGTCTGCCAGCTTAGTTCATATTTTGCGGCACTAAGGTGCTGCCCTCTCTAGGCCTGCCCAGGTCAGTGGGACGCTGGTCCCACTCGCACTCGCCCATTCACTTAGAGGCCTAGAAGCAGTCAACAAGTCTACTCTCTCCCTAGTGGGCATGACCCTCCTGGACCATGGGCACAACACACAAGCCTGTGTACCCACCACGACCATGCAAATAAAGCAAGAAGCCTCCGAGGACGTTTATCATTGAACCCCACTCCGTTGCAGCATCACCAAATAATCTCGTTATACCAGGCAGGATGACCACCCAGGCAGGGTGACCACCCGGGCAGAGTGACCACCTGGGCAGGGTGACCACCCGGGCAGGGTGACCACCTGGGCAGGGTGACCACCCAGGCAGAGTGACCACCCGGGCAGGGTGACCACCTGGGCAGGGTGACCACCCAGGCAGAGTGACCACCTGGGCAGGGTGACCACCCGGGCAGGGTGACCACCTGGGCAGGGTGACCACCCAGGCAGAGTGACCACCCGGGCAGGGTGACCACCTGGGCAGGGTGACCACCCGGGTAGGGTGACCACCTGGGCAGGGTGACCACCCAGGCAGAGTGACCACCCGGGCAGGGTGACCACCTGGGCAGGGTGACCACCCAGGCAGAGTGACCACCCGGGTAGGGTGACCTGAAAATGAAGAAACAGTTTTTTCTTTTCATATTTAGTAACATATGCAGGAGAAGGGGTTACTAACCCCTTGCTCCCTGCATTTTAGTCGCCTCTTATGACATGCATGGCTAGTGGAGAAAGGATTCTTTTCCACCTCCCCATGGAGAAATACTACAAACATTGTCTGATATTTTTAGGATATGTTCGAAACTCTCCATGAGGAAGTGGGACAGAATTCTTCCTCCATAAGCCATGCATGTCATAAGAGGCGACTAAAATGCCAGGAGCAAGAGACTATACACAAATAATCCGCACGTAGAAGAGAGGAGCTTACGGCAATGTTTCAGTCTCACCTGGACCATTTACAAAGTGGATCATTCCAGTCACGGTATTGTGCCTTTTTTTGTTATTTATGCAAGGGGCTAGTAACACCTTCTCCCATATACGTACATTACTAGAGTCATTTTTCTTTCAGGGCCACCCAGCCTCAGTGGGATATGGCTGGTTTGTTGAAAGAAAGAATATATAATAATGATATTATACACAATAATGATATAATAAAGATATACACAATATAGAAGATTCTCAATGTGTTTGTAAGTCAAGGACTTGGTGTATATTAGACAATTAGGGTGACTGACATATACTGCTACTCTACAGAAACACTGTGGGCAGCCTTGAAATTAAAATGTGATTACCATCAACAGGATATATAGCAAAGATATCAAACTAACTTTAGTACACCACTACTTCCTGATAGTAATGACAATATCTTGAAGTTTTGAAAACTGTGCGAATGGAAGATGTTCAGGAGACAAGTTAATCTCTTTTGAGGGTGCTGGAGAGAAGGTGAAGTTCTGGAGCAATGCTGCTGAGAAGATAAACAGCTCCATCCTGGCCAAAGACTCGCCCAGACATTGCCGTCGACCTGGTGACAAATTTGGTGTGTGAATTTCAGCATTACAAATTAGAAAAAGAGGATCAATACCATGACCGGAATAATACACAAATAACACGCACATGGGAGAGAGAGAAGCTTATGATGACATTTTGGTCTGACCTGGATCATTTACAAAGTCACACTCAAACACAAAGAGGTATCATTGTGACTTTTTAATGGTCTAAGTAGGACCAAAATGTTATAATCTCTCTCTCTACTGAAATTAGAATAAAACTACTGTCTGCTATAAACATAGAAGAAGTATATACTATGATCAATTCCTTTAGTATTAAGTAGTATGTAAGCCATTAATATAGGTAGTAGGTAGGTAGACAGCAACCACCTAGGGAGGTACTACCGTTCTGCCAAGTGAGTGCAAAACGAAAGCTTGTAATTGTTTTACATGATGGTAGGATTGCTGGTGTCCATTTTTCTGTCTCATAAACATGCAAGGTTTCAGGTACATCTTGCTATTTCTACTTACACTTATGTCACACTACACATACATATACAAGCATATATATACACACCCCTCTGGGTTTTCTTCTATTTTCTTACTAGTTCTTGTTCTTGTTTATTTCCTCTTACCTCCATGGGGAAGTGGAACAGAATTCTTCCTCCGTAACCCATGTGTGTTGTAAGAGGCGACTAAAATGCCAGGAGCAAGGGGCTAGTAACCCCTTCTCCTGTATATATTACTAAATGTAAAAGGAGAAACATTTGTTTTTCCTTTTGGGGCACCCCGCCTTGGTGGGATATGGCCGGCGTGTTGAAAGAAGAAAAGTCATTAAATTAAGTCTGCCCATAATGTCTAGGCATGATAGTGGCTCTCTTTGTACTGTACCCCATTATTGTAATTTCATAATCTCAGTGTAACCTTGCAAAGAAATTAACCTTGTTTGTTTTATGTGCAGGTTATTCACGTATTATAAATTAGGCCAGATGTACAGAAGACATATTTTTGTTTTTCTACCTCAATGGTTATCTCCCACTAAAGTAGGGTAAACAAAAGGAAAAAAACACATAATTTTTCTTACAATCATGTACAATGATATATTTAATCTACTTACATATACATCCATTATGTATTCAGTGTTATTTCTATACACTTAATGTCCTTAAAAGCATACTTGTACTGTATATTGCCCCTGTAATATTAATTTAGGCTTAAACTTGTCCAAAATGCTGTGCATAACCATCGGCTTTCTGCACGCATTCAAGTGTCAACCATTCCTGTATATACAATGGATCATGTGGAAATAAACTTCAAATTTGCACTTGAAAACTGTGAATCACTCATTTAACTGCTGTCTTCCCAGAAGTGTGCTAACATCCCTAATTCAGAGATAATTATCATTATTACATTTATGTAATGAGAGAGTGGGTGAGATGTTATCAACAAATTTTGTTGAAAATAAGAAAAAGTTTTGGAGTGAGATTAACAAGTTAAGAAAGCCTAGAGAACAAATGGATTTGTCAGTTAAAAATAGGAGGGGTAGGGGTCGGCCTAGGAAAGGTTGGAGAGAGGGGGTAAAGGAGGTTTTGTGTGCGAGGGGCTTGGACTTCCAGCAGGCATGCGTGAGCGTGTTTGATAGGAGTGAATGGAGACAAATGGTTTTTAATACTTGACGTGCTGTTGGAGTGTGAGCAAAGTAACATTTATGAAGGGGTTCAGGGAAACCGGCAGGCCGGACTCGAGTCCTGGAGATGGGAAGTACAGTGCCTGCACTCTGAAGGAGGGGTGTTAATGTTGCAGTTTAAAAACTGTAGTGTAAAGCACCCTTCTGGCAAGACAGTGATGGAGTGAATGATGGTGAAAGTTTTTCTTTTTCGGGCCACCCTGCCTTGGTGGGAATCGGCCAGTGTGATAATAATAATAATAATAAAAAAACAAAATTTGAAATAATGTTCAATTAATTCACCACTCAAATCATTTGGGATTTGTCAACTTGCTCGTTGTATGATTCATTTTGGGAAATGAAAAATTTCTAAGTAGAGCCCAAAATTTATTTGCAAGGAGGGAACAACCTTTTCCATGTTCTGGCAATAAATTCCAGATCTTTGTGCCCTTTATGTGTATAGCAGTTTTTGCATAGGGTGAGGCTGATACAACGGATGTCAAAGAGTCTTGTTGTTGCTGCTGTTGTTGTTTTCTGCCTCGTGTTATGCCTGTGTGTTCTGTTGTAGTTATCAACAAAGACTGACAGGAGGGTTGAAACTGGAGTATAATGTTCTGTGTATGTAAAACACATAATAATGTGAGTGACCTAGCAGGCAAAGATCTCATTTCACGTGCTAAGGGTCCAGGTTCAATTACTAGCAGGGTAGAAACATTCAATGCATTTCCTTACACCCACTGTCCTGTTCACTTAGCAAGTAGGTAGTACCTGCTTGTTAGTAAACTGGTGCAGGTCACATCCTGTGGGAAATCAGCCAGCCACAGACAGCAAAAATATTAAACAGTATAGATTGCAGTCATCCTTCCACAAAGACTAAAAAATCACTCAATTAGCACTAAATGAAACTGCAACCTCACTTCTTTTTAAGTCATTGGCTAATACTTCAATTTTCTGTACACAAGTAAACAAAGACATCATTATTTCAGTGGTTGACACCAGCAGAGTTTAGCCACACTACACTTAATTACCTTACTATAGCCACACCAACATTCACAGCATCAGCAAACAAGTTATTAAGTGCAAACTTATCAAGTGTTCAATTGCATCAATCACTGCTGACACAGCTTGTGTAAAATTAACACTCCTACCTTCACAAGTGCATTCTTTTACTTCTTTGTCAACTGTTAAAGGGATGAGGGACTGGCAGCTCCCTTCCCCTATGCACATATTGGAACCAACTTACCTGCTGTGGGGTCTGTCCATAATCAGAGAGGCAGCTAACACTCCCAGGTGCTGTTCCTTCGCCCACATGAGGCTACTACTCAATGCTCATATACAAGGAGAATGGTACCTGCAAACAATTAATATTTAGTAACCATGCCTCATGAAATCATAACAAAAAGACTGCAAACAAGACATGGAATGGGTGACATTTAAACCAGTGGCGACTGAGTCATAAAAATGAACATGTACCTAGTTGGATGAATATTATTGTAGCCAGCTGGCAGAGTGGCTTATGCACTAGCCTGCAGTTTTACGACATCACTAAAAATAAGACTGTGGTTTGTTAATGTGTAAGTAACTCTGGTGTAAATCTTAGCTTCCTATATTGTTGGTGCTGACCTAACCAGCACCAGCATGTGCTTTCCAAGTTAGCAGCTTCTGCAACTAGGTTCAAAGAGCATAATTCACTAAGCAAACTCTGCTGCTGCTGCTGCTGCTGCTGTTACAGGCAGGTCCAGCTTTACAGCACTTTGGTTTACAAATTTTCACTTTATGGTACTTCGCTAATGCAGTGGTTTTCAATTTCATTTACTCAAACTTTCTTACAATAAATTTATTCACCATTCATTTTAAGCTAAGGATGAAAATATTTTAATGTAAGTAGTGTACTCTGTTCATTTTTTAGGCCTACTTCTATTGCTCACTTTATATATGATACTGTAAACATATCAGGCATTTATATTCATTTCAAAGTGGAAAAAAAAGCTATGTTTCACTTTACATTATTATTATAATCAAAAAGAACTGCTAAGCCACAAGGACTATACAGCGCTGCATTTCACTTTACAGCAATAACCCACAACCTAACCTGCTGTATAAACAGTACCTTCCTGTACAGCAGTGGCCTGGAACCTAACCTGTATAAGCAGGGCCTTCCTGTACAGCAGTGGCCTGGAACCTAACCTGTATAAGCAGGGCCTTCCTGTACAGCAGTGGCCTGGAACCTAACCTGTATAAGCAGGGCCTTCCTGTACAGCAGTGCCTGGAACCTAACCTGTATAAGCAGGGCCCTCCTGTACAGCAGTGGCCTGGAACCTAACCTGTATAAGCAGGGCCCTCCTGTACAGCAGTGGCCTGGAACCTAACCTGTATAAGCAGGGCCTTCCTGTACAGCAGTGGCCTGGAACCTAACCTGTATAAGCAGGGCCTTCCTGTACAGCAGTGGCCTGGAACCTAACCTGTATAAGCAGGGCCCTCCTGTACAGCAGTGGCCTGGAACCTAACCTGTATAAGCAGGGCCTTCCTGTACAGCAGTGGCCTGGAACCTAACCTGTATAAGCAGGGCCTTCCTGTACAGCAGTGGCCTGGAACCTAACCTGTATAAGCAGGGCCTTCCTGTACAGCAGTGGCCTGGAACCTAACCTGTATAAGCAGGGCCTTCCTGTACAGCAGTGGCCTGGAACCTAACCTGTATAAGCAGGGCCCTCCTGTACAGCAGTGGCCTGGAACCTAACCTGTATAAGCAGGGCCCTCCTGTACAGCAGTGGCCTGGAACCTAACCTGTATAAGCAGGGCTGCCTGTACAGCAGTACCCTAGAACCTAACCTGTACAAGCAGGGCCTGCCTGTACAGCAGTACCCTAGAACCTAACCTGTATAAGCAGGGCCTTCCTGTACAGCAGTGGCCTGGAACCTAACTTGTATAAGCAGGGCTTGCCTGTACAGCAGTACCCTAGAACCTAACCTGTATAAGCAGGGCCTGCCTGTACAATACTATCCCAGAACCTGTATAAGCAGGGCCTGCCTGTACAGCATGTACCTAGAACCTAACCTGTATAAGCAGGGCCTGCCTGTACAATACTATCCAGAACCTGTATAAGCAGGGCCTGCCTGTACAATACTATCCCAGAACCTGTATAAGCAGGGCCTGCCTATACAATACTATCCCAGAACCTGTATAAGCAGGACCTGCCTATACAATACTATCCCAGAACCTGTATAAGCAGGGCCTGCCTGTACAGCAGTACCCTAGAACCTAACCTGTATAAGCAGGGCCTGCCTGTACAATACTATCCCAGAACCTGTATAAGCAGGGCCTGCCTGTACAATACTATCCCAGAACTGTATAAGCAGGGCCTGCTGTACAATACTATCCAGAACCTGTATAAGCAGGGCCTGCCTGTACAATACTATCCCAGAACCTGTATAAGCAGGGCCTGCCTGTACAGCAGTACCCTAGAACCTAACCTGTATAAGCAGGGCCTGCCTGTACCAGCTAGTACCCTAGAACCTAACCTGTATAAGCAGGGCCTGCCTGTACAATACTATCCCAGAACCTGTATAAGCAGGGCCTGCCTGTACAATACTATCCCAGAACCTGTATAAGCAGGGCCTGCCTGTACAATACTATCCCAGAACCTGTATAAGCAGGGCCTGCCTGTACAATACTATCCCAGAACCTGTATAAGCAGGGCCTGCCTGTACAATACTATCCCAGAACCTGTATAAGCAGGGCCTGCCTGTACAATACTATCCCAGAACCTGTATAAGCAGGGCCTGCCTGTACAGCAGTACCCTAGAACCTAACCTGTATAAGCAGGGCCTGCCTGTACAGCAGTACCCTAGAACCTAACCTGTATAAGCAGGGCCTGCCTGTACAATACTATCCCAGAACCTGTATAAGCAGGGCCTGCCTGTACAATACTATCCCAGAACCTGTATAAGCAGGGCCTGCCTGTACAATACTATCCCAGAACCTGTATAAGCAGGGCCTGCCTGTACAATACTATCCCAGAACCTGTATAAGCAGGGCCTGCCTGTACAATACTATCCCAGAACCTGTATAAGCAGGGCCTGCCTGTACAATACTATCCCAGAACCTGTATAAGCAGGGCCTGCCTGTACAATACTATCCCAGAACCTGTATAAGCAGGGCCTGCCTGTACAGCAGTACCCTAGAACCTAACCTGTATAAGCAGGGCCTGCCTGTACAATACTATCCCAGAACCTGTATAAGCAGGGCCTGCTGTACAATACTATCCCAGAACCTGTATAAGCAGGGCCTGCCTATACAATACTATCCCAGAACCTGTATAAGCAGGGCCTGCCTGTACAATACTATCCCAGAACCTAACCTGTATAAGCAGGGCCTGCCTGTACAATACTATCCCAGAACCTGTATAAGCAGGGCCTGCCTGTACAGCAGTACCCTATAACCTAAAACAAATAAACCTGTATAAGCAGGGCCTGCCTGTACAATACTATCCCAGAACCTGTATAAGCAGGGCCTGCCTGTACAATACTATCCCAGAACCTGTATAAGCAGGGCCTGCCTGTACAATACTATCCCAGAACCTGTATAAGCAGGGCCTGCCTGTACAATACTATCCCAGAACCTAACCTGTATAAGCAGGGCCTGCCTGTACAATACTATCCCAGAACCTGTATAAGCAGGGCCTGCCTGTACAATACTATCCCAGAACCTGTATAAGCAGGGCCTGCCTGTACAATACTATCCCAAAACCTAACCTGTATAAGCAGGGCCTGCCTGTACAATACTATCCCAGAACCTGTATAAGCAGGGCCTGCCTGTACAATACTATCCCAGAACCTAACCTGTATAAGCAGGGCCTGCCTGTACAATACTATCCCAGAACCTAACCTGTATAAGCAGGGCCTGCCTGTACAACAGTAACCCAGACCTTAACCTGCTGTATCATGACACTCACACAAGCTCACCCTTCACTTTTTCATTAATTACTCTATCTTCCACACTTTAATATCAATCCCTAACACATTCAACATCTGTATAAACAACACAGCTAGGGGAAACTGAATGACTGTTAATACAGCAGAAATCTCTACTTACAATCAAATTACCAGCTAACACTGCTCTTGTACAGTTTGACCAATTTTTCCCAGTGGTTACACTATCATAAATACCAATCAATCATTGCCTAAAAGTAAAAAAACTGTGATAATTCTTCAATTGTCCACTGAACAAAACATACAAAATTGCCTCTCATACAAGGATATATGTCTACTATACATACAAAGACATATGTCTACCATACATACAAGGATATATGTCTACTATACATACAAAGACATATGTCTACCATACATACAAGGACTGAACAAAACATACATACAAGGATATGTCTCTACTATACATACAAAGACATATGTCTACCATACATACAAGGACTGAACAAACACTACATACAAGGATATGTCTTTTACTTACATAACAAAGACAATATGTCTACCATACAATACAAGGACTTGTCAACAAGTTAAACATTACATACAAGGATATGTCTCTACTATACATACAAAGACATATGTCTACCATACATACAAGGACTGAACAAAACATACATACAAGGATATGTCTCTACTATACATACAAAGACATATGTCTACCATACATACAAGGACTGAACAAAACATACATACAAGGATATGTCTCTACTATACATACAAAGACATATGTCTACCATACATACAAGGACAATGCCTGCACTTTAAAGGAGGGGGGGGGTTAGGATATTGCAGTTTGGAGGGATATGTTGTGTATCTTTATACATATATGCTTCAAAACTGGTGTGTTCTGAGCACCTCTGCAAAAACAGTGAGTGTGTGTGACATCAAAATGTTGAATTATGATGAAAGTATCTTCTTTTTGGGGATATTCTTTCTTTTAGGGTCACCCTGCCTCGATGGGAGATGGCAGACTTGTTAAAAAAAAAAATATACAAGGACATGCGTCTACCATACATACAAGGACGTGTGTCTACCATGCATATAAGGACATGCGTCTACCATACATACAAGGACATGTGTCTACCATGCATACAAGGACGTGTGTCTACCATACATACAAGGACATGTGTCTACCATGCATACAAGGACATGTGTCTACCATACATACAAGGACATGTGTCTACCATGCATACAAGGACATGTGTCTACCATACATACAAGGACATGCATCTACCATACATACAAGGACATGTGTCTACCATACATACAAGGACATGTGTCTACCATACATACAAGGACATGCATCTACCATACATACAAGGACATACGTCTACCATACATACAAGGACATGCGTCTACCATACATACAAGGACGTGTCTACCATACATACAAGGACATGCGTCTACCATACATACAAGGACATGCGTCTACCATACATACAAGGACGTCTCTCTCCATACAAATAATACTCTCACATAAAAACTAGTTAATTTTAATAAAACACTTTACAATCCTTTCTTTACAGACTTTCTACTTTAAAATAAATAACAAGTGACCTTTATACACGAGTCAATAAATAAAATAAATCTATACTATAATAGTTTGACTGGATTCCTATTCTGATTTAGTACTACCAGAAATATTTCTCTCGTCTCGTCTCCATGACTGTAGCCGTCAGAGTATTCTTAATCCCGAGATAAACGTTAGGCGTTATTACCGTTAACCTAGACACAATCGTACAGGCATTTCTTTATTATTAACTCAGAAACAAGCCTATAGGCACCGTACATCTACTACTAACCCAGACACAAGTTTATAGGCATGTATATTAATCATCTAGACACAAGCCTATAGACATGTATATCATTCACCCACACAGAAGCCTATAGGCATGTATATTATTCACCCAGACACAAGCCTATAGGCATGCATCTTTATATAACCCTTTTGAGGTAAGGGATCCAAATGAACCCTTAAAAAAAAGATACATGCCTATAAGCATGTATCTTTGAGAGGGAACAAGAGTAAAGAATTTGCTGTTGCTCCCTCCCCTTCTTCCTCTTCTTCCTCTTCCTCCTTCATCACACCACCTCTATTAACATTGCACTTTCATTCAATACCTACATCATATACACCAGTCATCTTAACCCACCACAAAACACAGTATTCTGTCAACATACTTACACAGTTGTCTCACTTAACTGCAATAAAATTTCTCTACTAACAGAGATTTTCATTAGCCAAAGTTGATTAACTTCAGTACTTCAACATTTTTGTGCAGATAAAATGTTAAGCAAATAATATATCCACAATAACAGACTGGTGCACATGGCTGCGACTCGCCATCAAGTCCGAGATTCTCGTCCGAGCTGCTTGACGAGCACGGTCGGCAGAGTTAGTTAGTTAGCTGATCAAACTTTGCTTGAGGTCTAAAGCAATTATAAGATACTCAAGTATAAGACACTTATGTTTGTAAAGTATAGCGTTAATTAATATTCTCTCTACTAAGATATTAGTTCATCACTACCTAAATTATTTTTACATTCTTGGAGAGCACTAAACCTGCAAGGATCACCCACCACTATAAGCCAGAGGTCAAACATATTGTTGTGAAGGACATGTGCACACCATAAGCAAAAATTATTCACAAAAGTAAAGGACACAATAAATTTTCACACGACAAATCAGAGTGAATACATACGAGTGACCTTCGTACGTAAGGACGGACACAGTATACATGTCGCGACACTCGAGAACAATATTGATAAACCCCCTCTATACATACATAATGCCAATCTCCATGAAAATATATCAAAATACATTCATATTAAAACTTTCTAATTATCCTTTCTTTACATTTTGGACATTCATTTCTGCCTACATTTCAAACTATTACCTTCAAAATTACAATTTATTCCACAACATTTCTATATGTTACTTATACTACTTACCTTCCATCTTCAGTACACTATATCATCATTATCATTGACTAAAAGTAATTTTTATTTTTTATTTAGGATAAAAAATTTTATTGAATCAATAATGCAACAAAAATGGTCTGAACGTTTCACTTTGTGGCAAAGTGCAACACAGTCATTCATTAATTTACTATTGTTGTCAGTAATAATGTCCAACACTGTTCACTACTGTTTATATATTATTACACTACATTAGCCTGGTAGGGTAGATGATAAATGATGATGATGATGACAATCATCATCATCAGAGGAACACAAATTCTTCCGAGTCCTGAGGAAGTAGTGGAGTATCTCCCGGTAAACATGCAGCCATCTCGTCCTCGGTGCTCACTTGTCGAGTGCAAGCGTCGCTGTCTTCGCACCGGCCGTCGACGAATTCAAATATTGGATATTCAAAGCCGGGCTGCTTGGGTGTAATGAGCTGCAACAAAACAAGTGTATGCAATAAACACATGACACTACTCATCAATGATGTTACATGAATGTGCAATTCATACTTGACTTACAATGGGATTATGTTCCAATGAAACTATCTCAAGTCGAAAATCTAAGTCAAATATGAATGTTCAACGTAGCCGCAGTGCAACGTCGATATTATGTACGTGTATGTGGACTAGTGACTGGTTCAGTCAATGATCCGAGTCAGACTGAAACACTGTCGTAAGTTTCTTTCTCCTATGTGGAGATTAACTGTGTAGTGTACAACACAACAGTGATCATACCCCCACCCTCCCTACTCTCTATATCTGGCCCCTCACAATCATCATCCCCCTACTCTCTATATCTGGGCCCTCACAGTCATCATCTCCCACCCTCCCTACTCTCTATATCTGGCCCCTCACAAGCATCATCCCCCACCCTCCTACTCTCTATATCTGGCCCCTCACAATCATCATCCCCCTACCTCCCTACTCTCTATATCTGGGCCCTCACAAGCATCATCCCCACCCCTCCCTACTCTCTATATCTGGCCCCTCACAATCATCATCCCCTACTCTCTATATCTGGGCCCTCACAGTCATCATCTCCCACCCTCCCTACTCTCTATATCTGGCACCTCACAATCATCATCCCCCACCCTCCCTACTCTCTATATCTGGCCCCTCACAGTCATCATCCCCCACCCTCCCTACTCTCTATATCTGGCCCTCACACTGATCCTCCTCCACCCTCCCTACTCCCTATATCTGGCCCATCTCACCTCCCTCTCTTCCCAGAAAAAACAAATGACACTCAAGGGGCAGCATTTTAACCACATGGAGTATATTCAAGTACACTCTCAGGCTGTGACACATGCTCTTAGAAACAATGCTTCCAGAAATGGTTTGACGAGTGGCAGAGTTACTGGGATCAGCGTATGGCCTCTCAAGGAGAGTACTTGCAGGAAGACACCTTCAACTAGGTGATTATATAAGCCTATATATTTTGTTCATTCTAATTAGCCAACTATTTCACAGCACCTAATATATGCATAACCTATTGACCTCTATGACATTAGTAATAATATAAACTCATTAATACTCAATGACTTAATTACCCTAAAATTCTGCTTATTCAAACACAAATAATCAGTCAATTATATATATACACATATAGTGAAACTCTGGGTAATAATTAAGCCCAGTTAGGCGAGACTTACTTCTGGAATTTCCTCCATTAGTCGTAAAAAATCCATTCTTGAGTGGCAGTAGAAGCCCAGAGTTGCTGAGGGGTCCATGCGAGAGAGTGCCATCTTGCGAGGGGAACAGCAATGGTATGATGACAAGTTGAAATTGGACTGTGTCACCATCACAGCATCTTGACACAGGTGGGGGTCCAGGTGGATCAATGAATCTTCTGTAAAATTATAAAGTCATTGACAATCATTAAAAAAGCATTTAGCAATATTTAATTTTTTTTATTTTTTTTTTCTATTAAACATACTGACAGTCTCCCACCTAGGCAGGGTGACCCAAAACAGAAACACCTTCACCATCACTTACACAATCACTGTCTTGCCACAGGAATGTAGATACGACAGTTTAGATGTCCCTCTAAACGGTAATCACCCCAAACCCTCTCCTTTAGAGTGCAGGCACTGTACTTTCCACCTCCAGGACTCAAGTCCAACTAACTGGTTCTCCTGAATCCCTTCACAAAATAAATGCCACACTGCCCCAATAGTCAAGAAAAGATACTTATCTCAATCACAGTCCCTACACAACACCAGCAACATACCACATGAGGAGCGATCCTTCTTGAGCAATAATGTACTTTGTGTACTCAACAAATGTTACACAAGTACAGTGTACGGCAGACCATCGTTTAACACAGTACGTAGTTACGTTACTCAAAATGCCGTTTTAGTTAAAATCGTGTTAGACAAACTGAAGAACTTGTGGGAAAAATAGGGTTACATTCCTGGGAGCCCCACAAAAGCCAAACAACTTTTTTTCTAGACCTCTAGATCTTACAAAACTAAAAGTGAATATGTAATTGTAGCTCAATGTGATGCATTATGTTGTTTTTACAGCTTAAGATTACAAATGCAACAAAAATAATAGTATATTTCTTACCTTAAATTGTGGGTGCTGGTGTTTGTGGATGATTGTAGAGAGTGGAGAGTTATGTTGTGGCCCTACTGGGCTGAGGTGGATGGTAGAGGTACTGGTACTGAAGCCAATGGTTGTACGTGAGTGTGCATAAATTCTGTAATGGATTTCTGTTCTATTTTACCCTGAAGTTCATTATACAAATGATGGTAATACATCATCTGCTCTAGATGCTGTTTCAGGGTTCTCTTCAGTGAAAAATTCTAGCTTTAAGTCAGTAAGTCAGTCAAGCCAGTAAGTCAGTCAAGCCAGTAAGTCAGTCAAGCCAGTAAGTCAGTTAAGCCAGTAAGTCAGTCAAGTCAGTAAGTCAGTCAAGTCAGTAAGTCAGTCAAGTCAGTAAGTCAGTCAGTCAGTCAAGCCAGTAAGTCAGTCAAGCCAGTAAGTCAGTCAAGCCAGTAAGTCAGTCAAGCCAGTAAGTCAGTCAAGCCAGTAAGTCAGTCAAGTCAGTAAGTCAGTCAAGCCAGTAAGTCAGTCAAGCCAGTAAGTCAGTCAAGCCAGTAAGTCAGTCAAGCCAGTAAGTCAGTCAAGCCAGTAAGTCAGTAAGTCACTCAAGCCAGTAAGTCAGTCAAGTCAGTAAGTCAGTCAAGTCAGTCAATCAGTCAAGTCTGTAAGTTGGTCAAGTCAGTAAGTCAGTCAAGTCAGTCAATCAGTCAAGTCAGTAAGTCAGTCAATCAGTCAAGTCAGTAAGTCAGTCAATCAGTCAAGTCAGTAAGTCAGTCAAGTCAGTAAGTCAGTCAAGTCAGTCAATCAGTCAAGTCAGTAAGTCAGTCAGGTCACTAAGTCAGTCAGTAAATCAGTCAGTCATCACACACATACATATTTACCTCATTGTTTTTATGTGGACAAAGAGATACTTCATTACAGCCACAGTTTATCTCGTCCAATATCTCTATTTTCTTCGTTAATTCTAAGACTTAAACGCTGAAAACTTTTCATGCCACCTTCAGCAACACTTGTATGCCTACTGGGTGCCATGATTGCTTGCCAGATTTAAAATTTGGCAAAAAAAAAAAATAAATACATGTATATATAAACTCCTAGCAGAGGATGGTACGTATCCCACAGCAATGTGCCTAAAATTTTTTCCCCCTCCCACTAATCGTGTCAAATTAATTTTACTGAGTATCACACAAATATATACCACAATTCTTCAATTGTATTATAATCAAAACATGTCAGAAACTGCGTTAAACGATGGTGTACCAACTGTGTACTAACTGTTACATCAAGTAAACAGTTTGGTTCTCCTCAATCTAGTTATCAACACCTCACGACTATAAACTTCCTCCTGGTCCACTTGCTACTAAGTAGACTCATGTTATACATTAAAGGCAGCCAGCCACACTTTAAGCATTTCAAAATAATCCCTAAATGTCAAGTTAAGCTTTATATTCAAGAACACAAAAGTCATGAAAAGGGTCTATATTACAAATGTGGATTTCACAACATACTATTGTATTATGCCCAGTGATAACTTCAACTGACTCTGACTACTTGCAATGTTCCCACAAACACTCACAACACTCATGATTCTATTAATCATTCATTTCTCTACCTTTAATACTAGTTCAAGACTCATTTCAACTAACATCAAGATATTCACTTGATCTACATTTTTTAGCACGTTGCCTGTTTACCACCGAGGAAGGGCAACCCAAAAAAGAAGAAACACTCCTATCGTGACTCGCTCCATCGCTGTATTGCCACAGGCATGCCGATACAATGTTTCAAAACTGCAGCCCATCAGAGTGCAAGCACTGTATTTCCCACCTCCACGACTCAAACCTGACTCGTCAATCGTCACCCATCGGTCAGAGTGCAGGCACTGTAGTACTTTCCACCTCCAGGACTTAAGCCTGACTCATAAATGGAAATGTAAACACTTAAGCAGTATAATGTGATCCTTTATTGACAACGTTTCACCCACAGTGGGCTTTATCAAGTCACAAACAGATCTACCTGGGTGAAACATACGTGAGTATTTATAGGATAAGAATGCTGGGTCAGGTGGAGAATGCTGCATGTGGCAATCTTCCAAGTAGAGTCACAGATTCTAGAACCTTAAGCAGCTTTAAAGAGAGACTGGATAAGTATATGAGTAGACCTTCTGCAGTGTTCCTCGATTCTTATGTGGGATAGCAATGAACAAGTTTCTTGGCAAGGGGTTCAGCTATGTTATAGAAGCCATTGTGCTTCTTCAAGTTGTTGAATGTACAGATAAGTGATGATTCCAGGATTTTTTGGTATCGAGTGTTATCTTCTCTGGCAATAAGTATTGCGTTCATGTAGTTGATTAAATGGGTGTGTAAATTTCAATGTTGAACACAGGAATTCCTTACAAGATTGTCACGTGCACCATTCTCCACCTGACCCAGCATTCTTATCCTATAAATACTCACGTATATTTCACCCAGGTAGATCTGTTTGTGACTCGATAAAGACCACTGTGTGGGCGAAACGTTGTCAATAAAGGATCACATTATACTGCTCAAGTGTTTATATTTCCATTGTGTCAGTATTTTATACCATTTATTTCAAGCGACTCATCAATCTTCACCCATGAGTCAGAGTGCAGGCACTGTAGTAGTACTTCCCACCTCCATGACTCAAGCCTGACTCATCAAATCCCTTGTTCAAAAAATAAATTGACAAAACATTCAATATCCATAAAAGTAAATAATGCATACAATAAACTTTTCATTTTAAAGTTATAATTTGCACTGTACCTTGGAATCCAACAAAGTACAGCGAGTGTTTGGGTCGTCCTCCAATAATGCCAACGCAAAGTTCGTGAGTGAATAGGGAATATAAACAGGGAGCATAAATAGGGTTTAAAGCTTCACCACCTAGTCTAACAGGCACCATTATCAGCACTGATCTCCAGTTGTCACACACTGCACATGGTTCCTTCGAATGTCCGCTCCCTAATTTCTTCTCTTCGTCTGTACTCGATTTATCGTGCGTGTCGCTTGACGTCTCTTTCTGGGACTCCTTCGTGCTCTTCCTCCCATTTATCGACACTTCAGCGGCACTCCGTCCATCGTCGTTTTGTCCTGGTTTTTCATTACAGTAGTATTTTGCTTCACTTGCTTTGGTGTCTTTTTTCAATGTGTGTGAAGGTGCAAGATCCATGGCTGCCAGTGATCGTTCATCAGGATACAGACTGCTGCTACTACCTGGTTTGAGGTGAATATCTTTGGCCAACTTGATCAGATTCCCTTTGTTGCACACACATGAAGTAAAGCAAAGATCCAACACATCTTGAATATAAACTGCAAAACAAGAGACTGTGTAAAAAACATTGTGCAATGCTTCTTGAATCAAATAACAACATTGAGCAACTAGTACTACTATACATTAAAGCAGTGACTTGCTACTACATTCACAGTTGAAGCTTACCATCAAACTTAGGAGAATTTCCTACTCTCAGTGGCTAGTGGCCTGCTATATTCTGGGGCTAGTGGCCTGCTATATTCTGGGGCTAGTGGCCTGCTATATTCTGGGGCTAGTGGCCTGCTATATTCTGGGGACAGTGGCCTGCTATATTCTGGGGCTAGTGGCCTGCTATATTCTGGGGACAGTGGCCTGCTATATTCTGGGGCTAGTGGCCTGCTATATTCTGGGGCTAGTGGCCTGCTATATTCAGGGGCTAGTGGCCTGCTATATTCTGGGGACAGTGGCCTGCTATATTCTGGGGACAGTGGCCTGCTATATTCAGGGGCTAGTGGCCTGCTATATACTGGGGACAGTGGCCTGCTATATTCAGGGGACAGTGGCCTGCTATATTCTGGGGCTAGTGGCCTGCTATATTCTGGGGACAGTGGCCTGCTATATTCAGGGGCTAGTGGCCTCCTGCTATACAGTGGACCCCCGGTTTACAATATTTTTTCATTCCAGAAGTATGTTCAGGTGCCAGTACTGACCGAATTTGTTCCCATAAGGAATATTGTGAATTAGATTAGTCCATTTCAGACCCCCAAACATACACGTACAAACGCACTTACATAAATACACTTACATAATTGGTCGCATTGGGAGGTGATCGTAAACCGGGGGTCCACTGTATACTCAGAGAACAAGCAAAAAAATTAATGAATACTTTCAAACTAATAAAATTTAGATAAATGGTCCAAAGAACCAACAAGTTGATAAATCAGACACATGTACAACACTTAGGTATTTATTGCAGAAATGTTTCACCACACGGTGGCTTCATCAGTCCATGGTGAAGATCAAAAGGAGGAGTTTGAGGTAATCGGTCCTTCAGTCTGAATTCGATGTAATCGGTCCATTATAGCAACTCAGACCCAGGGACTGATTAACTCTTTTTGATCTTCACTATTCTCTGTACTGGACTGATGAAGCCACTGTGTGGTGAAACATTTCCATAAGTGTCTAATTTATCTGCCAAGAATGCTTCACATAACAAAGGTGTTTTCTTCACAACACACAATGTTTTGTTGTCTCACAACTGTGTCACCTCTGTAAACAAATTTTTAATGCATTCACCCTAATTTACTTGACTGAATTAACACAAACAATATTCCTAAAGAAACTGCAAACTTCTACAACAAACAATGACTTTTAAAAATGAAACAGGACACAACACACTAAATATCCATCATCCTCAGAGTCTTCAGATAAAACACAAACTGGTGTTGGTACCCAAAAAGTTAGATAACACATATAATACAACAACACTCACCTAGCTAATATAAAACATCAGAATTAGGCTAATAAACTCACACACTGGCCATCTCCCACCAAGAGAGGGAGACCCAAAAAAGAAACACTGTCACCATCATTCACACTATCACTGTCTTGCCAGAGGTGGACAGATACAACAGTTTAAATGTCACTCTCAACAGCAAATATTCCAGATCCCTCCTTTAGAGTGTAGGAATTGTACATCTCACCTCCAGGACTCAAGTCCAACTAACTGCTCTTCCTGTATCCCTTCACAAAATACCACCGCCGTGCTCACACTCCAACAGCCATTCAAGCCAATTCTTCTATGCAGCAAACTAAAATAATACATTGCCTCAAAAACAAAGCCAATAATACATTTGCTCCCAAACAAGCCAATACATCACTATTTACAACAAGTCAACAAAAGCTGCACCAACATTACACTCACCTAAACAGTCCTACTAATACAATGTTTACAGACAGGCCTAGTAATACAGAATCAGGGCCCTCAGTCTATGAGGATAGACTGAGGGCCCTGAATCTGCACCCTCTAGAAATGTGTAGAATTAGGGGTGATATGACTGATGCGCATAAATGGAAAACAGGAATAAATAAATGGATTATAAATTTTTTTTTTTTTTTTTTTTTTTTTTTTTTTTCAACAAGTCGGCCGTCTCCCACCGAGGCAGGGTGACCCAAAAAAGAAAGAAAATCCCCAAAAAGAAAATACTTTCATCATCATTCAACACTTTCACCACACTCGCACATTATCACTGTTTTTGCAGAGGCGCTCAGAATACAACAGTATAGAAGCATACACATATAAAGATACACAACATATCCCTCCAAACTGCCAATATCCCAAACCCCTCCTTTAAAGTGCAGGCATTGTACTTCCCTTTTCCCAGGACTAAAAGTCGACTATATGAAAATAACCGGTTTCCCCGAATCCCTTCCTAAATATTCCCCTGCTCACACTCCAACAGATCGTCAGGTCCCAAGTCCCATTCGTCTCCATTCCCCTTTATCTAACACGCTCACGCACGCTTGCTGGAAGTCCAAGCCCCTTACCCACAAAACCTCCTTTACCCCTCTCTCCAACCCTTTCGAGGACGACCCCTACCCCCCCTTTCCCTTTCCCCCTACAGATTTATATGCTTTCCATGTCATTCTACTTTGACCCATTCTTTTCTAAATGACCAAACCCCCTCAACAACCCCTCTTCTCCCCTTTGGGACTAATACTTTTATTAACTCCACACCTTCTCCTAATTTCCACACTCCGAATTTTTGCATAATATTTACACCACACATTGCCCTTAAACCAGGAAATCTCCACTGCCCCCAAACCGTCTCCTCGCTGCTGCATTTACCACCCAAGCTTCACACCCATATAAGAGTGTTGGTACTACTATACTTTCATACATTCCCTTCTTTGCCTCCATAGATAACGTTTTTTTGACTCCAATTACCTCAACGCCCACTCACCTTTTTTCCCTAAATCAATTCTATGATTAACCATCGTTCTTTAAAATCCATCCGCTGACACGTAAAACTCCTAGTATCGGGAAAACATTTTCCTTCTTCCATACTCCTCCTTCCCAATTTGATATCCAATTTTTCTTTATCTAATCATTTGACACCTCATCACCTTACTCTTTTTTATGTTCACTTTAAACTTCTACCTTTACACACTTTCCCCAAACTCATCCACTAACCTTTGCAATTTTTCTTTAGAATCTCCACATAAGCCAGTACATCAGCAAAAAGTAACTGTGCCCAATTCCCTTTTTGAATTTGATTCCCCAAAATTTAATCCCACCCTTCCCCCAAACCCCCTAGCATTTACTTCCTTTACAACCCCATCTATTAAATATATTAAAAAACCATGGTGACATCACAAATCCCTGTCTAAGACCTACTTTTCCCCGGGAAGTAGTCTCCCTCTCTTCTCACACCCTAACCTGAGCCTCACTATCCTCATAAAAACTCTTTACAGCATTTAATAAACTTACACCTATTCCATATACTTGCACATCTGCCACATTGCTCCTCTATCCACTCTATCATATGCCTTTTCTAAATCCTAAATGCAATAAAAATTCCCTATCTTTATCTAAATATGTTCACATATATGCTTCAATGTAAACACCTGATCTCACATCCCCTCCCCACTCTAAAACCTCCTTGCTCATCCGCAATCCTACTTTCTGTCTTACCTCTAATTCTTTCAATTATAACCCTACCGTACATTTTTTCCTGGTATACTCAGTAAACTTATTCCTCTATAATTTTACAGTCTCTTTTGTCCCCTTTCCCTTTATAAAGGGACTATACATGCTCTCTGCCAATCCTAGGTACCTTCCCCTTTTCATACATTTATTAACAAAGTACCAACCACTCCAACCTTTTACCCCCCCCTGCTTTTAACATTTTTTCATGATCCCATCAGTTCCAGCTGCTTTACCCTTTCATTTTACGTTAATGCCTCACTTTCCTCCCCCACACTTACATTCTGTTCTTCTTCACTCCTAAAAGAGGGTTTATACCTCCTGACCAGTGCATGAAAATTACTGCCTTTCTGTTTCTTCCTTAACATTTAAAAGTTCCTCAAAATATTCTCGCCATTACCCAATACCTCCATCTCCCCATCTACTAACTCCCCTACTCTTTTTTTAAAATGACAAATCCATATTTTCCCTAGGCTTTCTTAAACTTGTTTAACTCACTCCAAAATTTTTTCTTATTTTCATTAAAATTTCTTGACAGTGCCTCTCCCCCCTCTATCTTTGCTCTCCTTTTGCCCCTCTTCACCCCCTCTCTTTACCTTTCTTTTATTCCATATACTCTGCTCTTCTTATAACACTTCTGCTTTGTAAAAACCTCTCATAAGCTACCTTTTTCTCTTTAATCACACCCTTTACTTCATCATTCCACCAATCACTCCCCTTTCCTCCTGCCCCCACCCTCCTATAACCACAAACTTCTGCCCCACATTCTAATACTGCATTTTTAAAAAATATTCCAACCCTCTCAAAACCCCCCACTACTCATCTTTGCACTAGCCACCTTTCTGCCAATAGTCGCTTTTATCTCACCCGAACTTCCTCCTCCCTTAGTTTTACACTTTCACCTCCCTCTTACTTGTTGTTGCCACCTTCCTCTTTTCCCATCTACCTCTTACTCTAAAATGTAGTACAACTAAATAATGATCCGATTTATCAGTTTTCCCCTTATAAACTGTACATCCTGGAGCCTACCATCAACCTTTTATCCACCAATACATAATCTAAATAAATTTTCTTTCATTACGTGCTACATCATACCTTGTATATTTATTTATCCTCTTTTTCATAAAATATGATTACTTTATTACAATTTCTTTCTACACATTTGCTCAATTAAAGGCTCCCCATTTACATTTACCCTGGCACCCCAAATTTACCTACTACTCCTTCCATAACATTTTTACCCACTTTAGCATTGAAATCCCCAACCCCCATTACTCTCACACTTGATTCAAAAAATCCCCACGCATTCACTCAACATTTCCCAAAATCTCTCTCTCTCCTCTACACTTCTCT